ATCTTTAAGGTCTCTTCCACCCCCAACCATTCCATGGTTTTAATATATTATGGGCATGAAGTATCTAAAGTTTCTATTTGGTGTTGACTGAAACTCATCACTGATATATAAACCCTTGAAGTAAAATCCTGTTTCCATAGCCAAAAGCACAAAAGTTTGAATGACACCATTTTATTGGGTGTTTTTTTCTCTGAGTGCATGAATGTCACAAGCTGAACTTCTGCTAGGTTTAGAAACATCTAAGTTGCTAAAAGGCCTAGATTTATTTTTTTTCTTGAAGGCATTTATTCAAAATACCTTCTCATTTTCTCCCCCATTTATCTCTCTTGCCAGTTCTGTTCCATGGATTCATCTCCTCTGGGCTCGATGACACACTTGAGAAACTCAGATTGGTGCCAGGTTTTAGAAAGTGCTTCTGCAAATAGATTTCCACCATGACTCCCTTGGGGAAAAAGTAGTGGTATTTACTTTCCTCTCAGACACTGAGATGTGTCTGAGTGGTGCTCTCATCCTGGTAGGGATTGTGGGGCTAACAGACTAAACAATGCTTTTCTTTGGAATTAAAAGCAAATCCTGGTTTTCTCATGGTTATGACAAAGCATAACTTTACATGACCAGCAGCATTTGGGCTGTGCCACAGTCCCATCCATGCAGGTTTTCACTACAATCTGATTTAAGTGTGTGTTCATCAGGAGGAAAAATAGAAGGAAAAAGCAAAAAGCAAGAAAAAAGTAGGTGTCTGAGTTACCTTCACTCTTTGTTATCTTCTGCTCCCTGTATTTTCCAGCTGTAATTCCTGTGAGGTCCAGGCATGATCTCAGTTTAGTGGAATTGAGAACCCTGGGTGTTTTCATTTCTCCATCTGCCCAAAAGGGTCATGTTTTGCTATGTAAATACCTTCCTTCTTTAGAGTAAGAACAGAGTTTAACCATGAAAACCTCGTGGAAAGTGTGGTAGGTCTTCCAGCACTAAACCAGGGCTCTGCAAGCTCAGGAGCATTAGGAGCTCTGTCTTGTTTACTCATTGTAGGGTTCATAAAGTAAACAAAGGGGTGGAAATAAAGCAGAGATACAGAAGCATTTCATAACAAATCTACTGATAAGAGGCTGGAATAAAAATGGAAGAGGCAGCACAGGAGAACTTGGAATGAGCTGTGATGCTTTGCCATTATAACAGGCTAAAATAAAAGGTGTGGAGGGGACTGTTTGTCCAAGGAAGTAATAATAATCTGTCATTTTACCATGATTCCTACAGGAGAAAACTAAATTACAGCAGGACTAGAAAAGCAAAATTTGTCTTATTTCCTAGACTTGCAGAATGGTTTGGGTTGGAAGGAACCTTAAAGCCCATCCAGTTCCACCCACTGCCATGGGCAGGGACACCTTCCACTAGACCAGGTCGCTCCAAGCCCCATCCAACCTGGCCTTGGACACTTCCACTGTTCTTTTTACATCCTGTTCTCCCTGGAACCAGGAGTCATGTTCCCACACACAGGGCTTAGTCATTTAAAAGAAAATTAGATCAAATGTACTTTAATTTCTAAGCTGAGAAGGAAAATATTTAGGAAAAAAAAGTTTATTAGAAAACGGGATTGTCATTTAAAATATTGCAGGAGTGAAGTACAAAGGTGAACAGAGCAGATGGGTTTTCTGTACCTCAGAGGCAGCAGAAGTACAACCTCTGATGTAAATGTTACTATAGTAACTGGTGTTTTTATTTAAAAGCCCAGTAAATAGATATGTCAAAATGGAAGTTAAACTACAGAGCCTGCTACTTGAAGGACCACTTTTTTTTTGTCCAACTTGTATTTTTGCTGCAATTTCCCCCTTGAATGCACTCAGCATCTTCTTCTTGCCAAATTACACTTCAGCCTTTGGGAAATAGACCTCACTAACGGTGACAGCACTAATTACCCGGGACCTCTCCTGCAGCCATGAGAAGGCTTAAAAAGGGATGAAAATCCCTTGTAATGAATTTTCTGTAGATCATTCCCTTCTGCCTCCTTTGAAAGCTTGTTTCTAGCAGCTAGAGCTATCTAACCATAAAAAGAATTAGGAATATGTTGCAAAATATTAGATTTTCCTTCTGCCTATTCCACTGGTGCAGCTGAATGGGAGAGAAGTGTCCCTTGGAACACTTGGAAAGCCAAGGGTGTTTAGTTCCACTAAGTTTTCCTCCCTTTCTTCCTTCCTCCCACTCCATGAGCAGCTGCTGTGGAGCTCCCAGCCCAGTGCTGTTCCCTGGGGTGGCAGTTCTGCCTCCTCAAATTATACTTTGATTATAAAGTAATTACAGATCTGCATAAATGAAGAGTCATATCTTATGAATATCAAGGTTTTATGCTTTTTGTGCTCATCCTTTCCATTTGGAAAATTTCCCTGGGCTTGCTGTGGCATAAACTTGTGTTGGTTACTTAAAAGATGAGTAATTTTGACAAGGGCCTGGAGTGACAGGATGAGGGGGAATGGCTTCACACTGGAAGAAAGTAAGTTTAGATGAGAGATTGTGAAAGAATTTGCTGTGAGGGTGGTGAGGCCCTGGCACAGGTTGCCCAGAGCAGCTGTGGCTGCCCCATCCCTGGAAGTGTCCAAGGCCGGGTTTGATGGGGCTTGGAGTGACCTGGGATAGTGGAAGGTGTCCCTGCCCATGGCCGGGGGTGGAACAGGCTAGGCTTTAAGGTCCTTCCCACCCAAACCATTCCATGATTCTATGATCCCTGCATGCTTTTGGGGAGAGGGAATGTCCCCTCATAGCAAATTTGGAAAGTATCTAAACCAAGAAGTTCACTGGAGAAATGGTTTAAGGTTAATACAGTTCTACAATATGAGGCAGGTTTTTCATTAATATTAAATTTAACCCCAAGGGCAGAAAAAGGAGAAGATCTTCTCATATTACACCTTGTTCAAAGATCTCTCTTGGTGATGACAGAAAATGAGTCAATGTATTGATATCCCTGTCTTGCTGCAGCACCTCTGCTGTTAAATGATGGGATTCATTCCTTTGTGCCTCTAAGGTGAATCACTGTCAACAAGGTTTGGACACCTAACAAGGAATGATTCTGTCCTGGAAGGTAAAGGTGTGTGCTCTGAGAGTTTCTCCAGCCAAAGCAACACTTAAACCTTTTGTCCTTTCATGAAACGAGTCCACAGAGAACTTCTGAATACTGGGGAGGAATTAATCCTGCTCTAAATCAGACAGGTGGATTATTTTTGTTAAATGAATAGACTTACACCCCCACCTGGCTCTACCCTCCTGTCAGGGAGTTGTAGAAGAGTGAGAAGATCAGCCTTAGTAGGTCTCCAGAAAAGATGATCTATGAAGACAGAAAGAACTGGACCTTAAGTTTGCACAAAGGATGATTGGTATGAGACAACAATGTAAGACACATGAAAGATGAAAGAATTCTGAAACGAGGAAATACCTGTCTTCCTATGTCTATGAAAAAGTAAGAGGATTAAACTTCAGGAAGGTTTAGTTTAGATATTCAGTGAGGAAAAAACCCTTTAAAAATAAATAAATATGCATGAGTGGAGGCTGCATAGGGGTTTTTTTTTCTGGTTCACTGAACACCAGTGGTACACAAGGAAGTGAAAAAAAACTTGCTCTGTGAAATGTTTGTCTTAAGATGTTCTAAATAAAAAGGAGTTTTCTAGTGGTAGCTTTTGACAGCTTTTGCTTATGCTGTGTAAGTCTGGCACACAAAAACTTCAGTGGTTTCCTAACCTCAGACACAAGTTGTATGTGGTCAGATTTCCCAAACTGAGGTATTAGAACACAGAAACATTTTAAAAATAGAATTTATCAATTAAGAGATGGTGGTCATTTTAACAAGGAGCGAAATTGGCTGATGCTGCTTTGAGGAAATGGATCATGAATTACAGAAAGTCAATAAATAAATTAAAGCCAAGCAGTGGTTTTGTTCCAAGAACTGTTTACACCATTCAAAAAATAGTTACAGTCTGGTTGCTTGAGAAGAGCTTGCAGTAGGTAAATATAAATATTTTTCTCCATACCTCATGAAGCAGAGATACTGGGTTTGCATTTCTTTTAAAATAATATTGCTGAAAAGAAAGAAAAGTTAAAAAACCCCCTCAGCTGCACCCATCTGGGACTTATCAGTCTCTGCTTTGCTAGTTCTAAACTCTTGCTGTCTTTTCCAAAAGGATGAGCACAAGAAAGATTAAAGGTGCATTGAATCATTAAGATTAGAAAAGACCTCCAAGATCGAGTCCGTCTTTTCTATCAGGGCTCAGTCCTCGACTTTAAGTTCCTTGAAATAACTTCTGGGTGTTGTTTTTTAATTGCAAGTTCCTGTTAAATACGTGGTATTGCTTTACGTGTATCAACCCTTTATTCATCAGGACAAACACTGAAGTCCAGAAGGGCCAAAATGCATGTCCCACCGCAGTGCCTGGCAGCTCTTTGAAGGCTGGAACTTTATTTTCTTCAGTGAAGTGCTGTGCTCTGAAGGGGACAGGCGTTCAGGGAATCACAGAATGGTTTAAGTTGGAAAAGTGCTCCAAGAGCAAGTCCAACCGTTCCCCCAGTACTGCCAAGGCCCCATCAAGACGGCGGGGACTCCACCACTGCCCTGGGCAGTAATTTTCGCAATATCCAACCTGACCCTCCCTTGGCACACCTTGAGGCCATTTCCTCTCATCCTGTCCCTTGTTCCCTGGGAGCAGAGCCCGACCCCCACCTGGCTCCACCCTCCTGTCAGGGAATTGCAGAGAGCCAGAAGGTCCCCCCTGAGCCTCCTTTTCTCCAGGCTGAGCCCCCCCCCAGCTCCCTCAGCCGCTCCTGGTGCTCCAGACCCTTCCCCAGCCCCGACGCTCCTTCCCCCGGCACCCCGTGTGTGTGTGAGGAGCCGTGAGGGGGAGCGGGGCGGGCGGGGCGTCCGGGCGAGGCGGGGCGGCTGAAGGGAGCGGGGCTGAGGGGAGCCGGGGGAAGCTGAAGGGAGCCGGGGGAGGCCGAGGGAGCTGGGGCTGAGCGATCGGGGCTGAGGGGAGCGCCCGGCCGGGGCTGGGCAGCGGAGCGGTGGCGACGTCACTTCGGCTGTCGGTCGGTCGGTCAGTCGGGACTACGGGAGCGAAGAGAAACAGGTCGGTGAATTTACTTTTTTTCCCTCTTGTTTCCCGAAACATCCCCCTGAGATTACCCTTGATCGCTGCCGGCGGGGGAGCGTTGCCTTCCTCTGGCAGAATCCAGATTTTAGAGGCAGGCACGGTGTACCCAAAGCGGCCCTTTCCCTCCGTCTATTCCCCAAGATTCAATTCTGAAGCAAAAGAAAAATCTCAGTGGATGTGGGCTGTGAATTTCTGATGCCGCAGGAGCTGTGATAGCTCGCTCTGATAGAAGAGCACTTTGGAAACTTAATTAGTGATACAGCATTTATAAGCAGAGTTTATAATGAGAGCCCTTAGCTACCAAGCGTGGCTGTAACGTGGTATAACCTCAAAGTGCCAGGTAGGCGCAGGAGCTCTGCTTACAGCAGCGCTTAAGAAAAGACAGATACATGTGAAAAACCACGAGGGAAAGTTTTTATTAAAAATGCTTTTCTCTATTGCCGGCTTAAAATCAGGAGTATTTATGAAACTGAAGTCTCTCAGACTGTGTGTTGTGACTGTGCGCAAACTTCAATGCTGTGGAGTGAAGATGCAGGAGCAAATGCTGCTGGATCTTGGGCTGGTGATGGGAACCTGCCTGTGAGCAGCATGAGTATCTGTGATGGGTATTTTTGGTACAAACAAGAGAAATTGTACAATCTGGAGAAAACTCTTTAGAGTTTGGGACATTTTACTATTGAGTCTCAGGGGAGAGGCTCCACCAGCACTCTTGGGGCCTGATTTTGCAGCTGTACTTTTGCCCAGCTTGGGTTGCCTTGGTTAAAGTTTTAGTATTAGAAAGCAGAATTTTTCAGTGCAAGTCATACACATTTCTACTTTGTGTGTTCCACTTACTGCAAACTCTTTATTAATAATGATATCTAATGTACTCAATGGCAGACAAGTGCGAGGGTCTTGCCCAAATCAACAGGACTGGGAAGCCCTCAGCACCCTTAAAGAGCAGGTCAGAAGATGCTGTGCCGAGACATTATTACTAAAATATTTTTATGCTTTATAGAGATTTTTAAAATATTTAAAAACAGCTGTGGTGCAGTGCTTGCAAAAACAGTTTGTATGAGTGCAGTATTATGTTCCTGTTTCCCATTAACAGTCAGCTGTTGGTTTTTGGGAGGATGGGAATGAGAAAAAGAGAGCTCTAGACCCTGTATGTGTATGTTATATTAGTTGGGGAAAAATAGGAGATCCTGGAAATTAGGTTTCTATACATTTCTGTAGGCTTTGAAATTCATCATTGGCTTATTGCAACACTTCTCATGTGATCTCTGTGTCCCTGTAAAAGTTAGTGAGGATTTTACAGCTGAGTTCAATGGTGTTGGGGCTGTGCTGCTCTACTGTGTCTGGGATGGGTTGTAGGGATCCACCAGTGCCACCCTCAGTTCAAACTGGACAGGTAGACCTGCCTTGTTCTGCAATCCCCTCCTCACCTCGACCCTCTTCCTGAGGTTCAGAAAGGAGATGTGCAGAAATGTGAGTTGTTGAGACAAGAACCTGAAGAAAAAGGCAGCTCCAGAAGGAAAAGGAAAACTTTCAGTTTATTTTCCATGCCCAGTGCAGCTGTTTGTGGGTCCTGCTTGTTTCAGGCTATGCTGAAAATGTTTCCCATGTTGAAATGACAGTGGATTCTATGACTCCTCACTCGACCTGTAAAGAAAAATGATCTTATTTTGCTGCTGTTCTCCTTGCTTGCTTTTTGGTGTTAATCCAGTGTTTTTGTCAAGGCAGGGACTCTACTTGCTGAAATGTTTTGTGCAGTGGTTGGCACAGAGAAGAACACACTATTTACATAAGAAATTGGAAAATTTCTTATACACAGCAGCAAAGTCAGTGGTTCTGGAACACAGTATTTTAAGATATATGTGTTAAAACAGACTCTGATTCCTTCCTTTTTATGAACACTTTCCCAGTTATGCATAAAATGGTTTGTTCTTGCTGTGTTAACTTACTCTCTGTGGGATAAAGCTATAGTTACAAGTTTTAATAAGTCTCCTTATTTAACTCTATGTTCCCTGTAACTGTTCTTGTAAAACTTGTATTCTTTCTTAGAGTGAAGTTAGAAATTCTGGCCAGTTCAATATTCTCACTGGAAAAGATTTTGGGAAGCCCTCTGTGGTCCAGTAATACATTTATTCTGGCCTGGGATTTATCTGTAGATATCTCTTTTTACCCAATTCCCCTGTAAAGTTTACACAAGGAAGACTGAACAGAAAAATGCTGGGGATTTGCAGCTTTTTGATCATGTACAGCACTGGTTCATGGATGTCATTGGAGCCAGGAGAGGAAAATAACTCCTTTGTAAAAATCAGTGTGACAGAAGTAGGAAGAGAAGATGTCCAAGCTGATCTGAACTCTATTTTTACCTCCTGGTCCAAATATTGTTAATTATGGTTGAATTAGTGTTGACATCAGAATCTCTTTGGTTACTCTATCTGGTCATTTTTATGGCAGAATCCTTGAGGTTGGAAAAGCCCTCCCAGCCCATCGAGTCCAACCTGCGCCCAATCCCCACCTTGTCACCCAGCCCAGAGCACTGAGTGCCACGTCCAGTTGTTCCTTGGACACCTCCAGGGATGGGGACTCCACCACCTCCCTGGGCAGCCCCTTCCAATGCCTGACCACCCTCTGAGCTTTCATCTTTAACTGCTGAAAATGTAGCTTAAATGTACCCTGATTATAACCTGGTGAGTGGGAAGAAAAGTGGATGGGACTGAGTCATCTTGCAGACCACAGTGCAGATGGTCTCTGCTGGAGAAATGGCTCAGCTCTGGCTCCCCCCTCCTTCAGCTGGAGGGGGGAGACTAGAATCAAGGGGGAGACAAGAATCCTGGAATACTGTCATTCACTGGTCAGTTGTCTACATATATATATATTATATTTATATATATATATATATATATATCTATAACAGTACATGCAGCCCCAAACTGGAAGGCCAGTGGATTACATAACCTTGGCACTGACTCTTTTGGCTACATTGATGTTCTCAAGGAAACTGTTCTCAGAAATATTTAAGGAATGGAATACTTTGGAGGGATTCCCTCAATATAATTTCTTGCCCTGGCATTTGCTGTCTGACTTGAGCTGTAGATTTTACTCATCGCTCAGTTCTGGTTAAATACAACAGCAGCCAAAATCTGTTTTGTTCTGATATCTTCTATGGAGCTTTAAGCATAAAAATGCTTATATTTAGATTTTAACAGAATTTATATAGCTATTGGATGAAAATAAAAAAGAACAAAGTACCTGAAATGAAAGAACAATATTGAAATAGTACTGTAAAATTTAGTGGAGTCTTCACTGTTGAAATGGGTGCCCAAGTGCTTTTGTCTGTGCTGCACTTGGAAAATTAGGTATCCCTTGGACATTTTGGTTGGTTGGGTTTGTAGTGCCTTTCAGACCAAACCCAGAAGGTGAACAATAATCAACAAAAGCCTGGAGGAGTGAGGGCCCTAATGGTGAGAGAGCTGTGTTGGTATTTAATTGATATTCTAAGCAAAGTTTTTTTCCTCAAATGACTTTCTGACCTGTTCTCCTTTCCCCGGTCCAGTGGAAGGTGTCCCTGCCCATGGCAGGGGGTGGAATGAGATAATCTTCAAGGTCCCTTCCAACCCAAACCATTCTGGAATTCTGTGATTCTGTTTACGAAGGTGTGAGTGTCAAATTAACTGAAGTGCACCAAAATGAAACCCTAATGAAATAATAGACTGATAATTGTCAGCTCTCAGTTAATTTTCTGTGTGTTTTTCAGATCAGCTCTACAAAACAAGATGTATTGGCAAATCATTCTTACCATTCTTGTGCTGTTGGGTAAGTTCCTAAAAGAATCAGTCTGTTGGAAGAATAAAGAGAATCACATTTCTGTTTCACAGTGGTGTCTCAAGTCATGCTACTGGATTAGTATCTTATCACAACATGCATCTAGAATGTACAAAGAACCTGATGTTGTCATTGTGTGGGATTGAAATGTTGACCCTCTCGGGGTTGTGCCTGTGTCTCTTACCCCAAAAAAGCAGTGAACTGACTTTTAAGCTCAGGAAACATCAGTAGAAAGTATGTGATAAGTCAAGAGACATTCAGATAAATGCCCCAGGCAGAATTTGATAAGAGAGAAATTTGTGGGTGATTTGTTTTGTTACCCAAATAGGTCCGAAAGCATAAAGAAAGATCCCTTTTCCACCAGAACTGCAAAGTTTCAGTGTAGCCGAGGTGTCACTGAGTCTGAGCTCTGCCTTTTTAGGAGGCTGACATTCCTGCTTCCATGGGCACAGGGCTGCTAAAGGGTGCTCAACTAACTGCAAATGTTGGATTTAATAAACTAGTTTTCTAATTGGGAAATGTCTGTAACAATATTGGCAGATGCTGTTCAAGGACAGCTGGTATTTGCCTCTCATTTTTTTACTAAAATAAGAACTTTTTGAAGACTTGATGATCATGCTCAGGGAGAAAGAAGACTTTAATCCAGTGAAGTTAATCTCAAAATTTGTGTCATCTTATATCCTTAAAAAAAAAGAATAAATCATTAGATTTCTATATCTTTTCTATATACATATTTATATATATATATACACATCTTTTTTATCTTGCTATATATGTACTTTTATCCACTCAGTATCAAATACTGTGTTGTTGACATTCTTTTAAATACTTTCCGTGATCTGAACATATTGTGTACCTTTAATTGACAGACTTGGATGCCTCAGGGAGTTTTCCTGAGGTTTCCAAGCAGTTTGTCCTCTCTGATGGCCTGGAATGACTGAAAATCAGCGTATCCATGGGTTGGCCATAAGCAGATAACCACAGCTGGCATCTTTAACCCTGTTAACTCAGATATGCTGCTGTTCTGGGCTTCCTCTGGCTCATTTTAACTTTATTTTTTACATTTCTAAAGAAGTGGGAAGGAGCTGCACACATTTTGACTGGATAAGATCTAATTAATCCCTTGGGGTGTGATATGTGAGGGGGAAGTTGTTCCTTAGAAGGGGAGCTGACGGGCTGTGAGTTGAGTGGTGCTGTTAGTTGTTTGTCCTGCTTCATGTCACTTGTTTGTCCTTTTTTTAATCATATATTAGGGACTAAGAGTCTGTTTGCTCTGCTGCATCCTCCCCATGCAGCCAGGAGGCATGTTGAAGCTGGTATTTACAGAGGCACAAAGTCTGTTAACTGGGAGAAGAGGAAAGAGCAGGACCCTCCAAAAGTGTGGCAGCACAAAACCTGTGGAGAGAGAAAACTAAACACTTTAACACTCTGCATAATAACACACTGCATCTACTATTTTTTAAAACTTTTGTACCTTTATATTGTTTAGCTCATGTTTCTGTGCTATTAATCGAACAGTGCTAGAGAAATTCTGTTCTTTTCTTATTTTGGCCCTTGCAAGCATAGAGCATCAATTAATTTCTATCTAATGAACTGCTTAAAATATTTATGCCCTTACTGAGCAAACAGCTAAGTGCAAAGTGCACAAATGACCCACATGCCTTTCTGTAACTAGGGTTTAATCTTTGAAATCATAGTGTTTTACAGTAAGCTGTTTGCAAAACCCACACTCTCATCATTCTCAAAATCCTTGGGAGTGGAATTCAAGTTCTGACTTACCAACAAGAGCTGCAAATGTGGTCAGAGCAATTTCATTTTGAGGGATCTGATGGAAAAAAATTTTCTTTTTTCTGCATCTCATTTCCCAGATAATGCACCCAGTCATACATCTTGTAACACTATCCTCTGGTATTTAACAGTTCCAGTGTGATTATGTCTTATATTTACAACAGGATTATTTTTTTTCCTGCAGAAATGGAGCTGTGTTACAGAAGCTGGAGTGAATGTGTTCCAGCACTGCAGGGGAGATGAGACTCACACCTGTAAAGTGTGTGAACTTGGGTATAGGATTCACCATGTTTTGGATTAATATAAGCCATTTTAACCCAAAGAGGTTCTTCCCCTACAATCTTGGCCTTATTTCAAGAGGCTGAGAAATCCAAAGTTTAGGTGTTGTGGGTTTAAGCAGAAAGGCTGACATCTGTCAGCTGTGGCACCAGTTCAGAGGGGATGTTTTTAGTAATTGTGTCTGCAACTCATAGAATAGCCCCTGGGAACAGCCTGATTTTTATGTTGTGAGTGTGTTTCTGTATAACATCAACCGGTCCCTTTTCACTGACAAGATCAACTTTTTCATTTATTTCCAATATCTTTGCCTTTATATTTGCAGACTTCCTTCAAATGGCAGTTGCCCATTGTATGGTCCATGCAATTCCTCCCAGGAACTTTACATTACCCTGTGTGCTGCTGAATGAGACATCTTTGAGCCCTTTCTCTGCCAGAGTTGAGAGTTGGTTTGGTTTGAGGAGAGACCATCGTAGGACATCTGAAATCAAACCTCTAATGAATGAAGAAAGTTTTCTGTGTTGCCTTTGGAGTGACAACAACATTGATTGTTCTTTGTACAGAGCAAGCCTGCAGGCAAGGAAGTTTATTCCTTCAGAAATAAATATCTCTGCTTCTCAAGAAATAGGTGGGTTTAGCATTCAAGGGCAGAAGAAGTTCCTTCTTCAAAAACAGGTTGGGTTTTTTTGTTGTTTGGGAGGAGAGGGGTGGGTTGTATTAGTGGGGATTCATTTTTATCCTGGGCACACAACACAGTGTGGTAAAATCCTTCCTCACAGAGTCTGTAGTGGAAGATGAAGGAAATTGTAGAGCACAGTTTCAAGGGGGAAAAAAAGTTAGCTGCCTTTCTAGGGGAGTTCTGAATAAAATATGTAGCAGTGCATATGAGGATGTAAGCCCAGAACTTCAAAGGAGTTTACACACTATGAGAAATATTTTATATATTTTTTATGGATATGGGCTTTAAACTCCTTTAGGAGGTGGGGGAGATGGAGAGCGAATGGCATCATTTCTGCATGAACTGTGATGCATTAGTAAGTATCTGTACATGGATTAGAATTATTTTTTCCAAGACTGTTTTTCTCCTGTAAACCCCAGTCTCTGAGGAACATACTGGCCTGCAGGAATCTCGTTGAGCTCAGTAGAGTAGAATTTCATTTTCCAAGAACTTCCCCATGGAACAAAAGGCTCTCTGTTAAAGTGTGTCCCACGTGTTGCAGTTGTATGTGCACAAACCCGCAGCACAGCCACAGAGAGCTGTGCCCCTTCACAGCAGCAACACAGCAACCAGCAGCAGCAGCTTCATTTTTCTCCACCCTGCAGCCTTGTCCATAAAGCCAGGTAAAAAACAGTCCTTCTTTAATAATGCCAGTGCAGCAGTACTGCAGACTGGGAGCCTTGCAAGTGTCAAAGGGCATCTAATTCAATACAGATTATTCATAAACATTTGCACATTTGTGGTGCAACTTCACCTTCATGAATATCTGTTACTTGTCCTCTCTTTGGGAGTGAATTTTATCCTGGCTCTTCAGCTGTGGTTTTATTTTGTTTTAATATAGGTCAGGAATGGGTAATCCCTTTCTTTTGTTTAGGTTCAAACTGGAACATGGAATGTTGGATTAAAGGCAAGCTGGACCTGTTAGTTTGTAACCTGCGGGTTTTGAGATTGTACTTGAGAGAGGACTTGGAGGTTAATCTTTTTTATGCTGGGTAAGTACAGACTCTGTTAAATTTAGCACTATTGACATTGGAAATCTGAAAGCATTTTCTAAAATATCAGCATTCCAGGTTGCAGCACAGTGGTAGCCCGAGTTTAGGAAGCAGATTATGTTATGTACCTTTGTCTTGTCTAAAAGTAATCTTAGACAATATGGAAAATTTAGATTTCTTTAAATGAGAAATGGTTGGAATGAAGAGTCTTCCTCCTTTGTGTTTTCTGTGTTTCTTAAAATGCTTTAGTGAAATCAGTGTTGACTTGTTAAAGTTTCTTTGCTGCTACAGTTGCTTACTTTTAAGGCTGCCCTCTTGGTTCTGCCTTTTATTTGCTTTTGACCATAATATTGTCTCTCTTGAAGTAATTGTGATGCTTAACCCGTAATACAGTGCCAAATGCTGCTCTAATCCCAACAGTGCCTCTGAGAGACACTCACCTGTGCAACTGTCACTGTGGTAAATATTCCCTGGAATGGTGATAGATGGAATCATCCTGGCTGTGGGTGGGCAGGTCTTGTGCATATGACCTGCCTGATTTGGTTATAAAAAGATCTGTGTGATTCCATGAAACCACACAGTTTCTTCTGAATTACTGATGGATTGGAAAGAATGGCATAAACACAGACACTTAATTTCTTTAGGAAGCAGGATAAACTTAAATAGCTGATTTAGTTGAATTTACAGGTGATATCTTTTACTTAACAAAACAGTGTCTTGCCACAAATGTCTTGCCAGAAATCGTCCCTGTAATCAGGGTAGAAAGCAAATGTATTAACTAGGAATAAATATGGTTGGTTAGCTGACAGAATACTCTAATGCTGAAATCAAATTTTGATTAAGTTGGTTCTTCATTACTTTGATTTCTGAAATACCATTACATGGGTGTTTATGGGAGTAAATCTGACTTTGCCTCTGTTCCGTCCAGTCCCAACTGCAATAGGATAATCTTTGCCAGTGATCCCAGGGCAGTAATCTCTGTATTGAATTTTTTTGGTATGCCAAACATCCATGGAACAACAAATTGGAGTCCCAGCTGGGATGAAGAGGTTCTTTGTGTTATGAAGGGAATTCAGTAAGTGCCATGCAATTTAGGAGAGCAGGCCCTAAGGACTCACCAGAGTCCTCCTGGCGTTTCTCTGTTTGATTCCTCTTTGCTGCAAAGGTGAGATACAGAGCAGTCCTTGACATTGGAGAACTTGTTTCACTCCCCAGATTCTGTATTTGTATTTTTTCTTTAGGATCCCTGTGTGTTGGGAGAGCAGCTAGTAAAGCATTTCAGACTTTGGTGAGGTGACAGCTTTCCCTGTTGGCTTGCTGATACCTTAACATTTTATTCACATGAGCCAAAATACCTTGAAAACATGCCCAGTTTTAAAAATATGCATTCCTGGCATGTGTTTCTCCCTGGGAGTCAGGAGACCAAGCCAGAATTCTCATATACAGGACAGGCAGTGCACAGAAATAATGACCTAGAAGAATCCACAACAAAAAAGCTTGGGTCCTTCCCAGCTTTTATCTTTTCCAAGATTAAAGAAATACCCTCTTATTTTGCACATCCACAGTATTCCTGCTTGTAAATGGTATCATTGGAATAGAAATATTTTGTTCTGCCCAAACCAGTGCCGTGTTCTGGGAGAGGCTCAAGCAAAGGTGATGATGGAGCTTTACCTTCCCCTTGGCTTGGATTTGGGAGAGGAAAGATTATTCCAAATTAGATAATTTCGATTAATTGTCTACCAAAAGTGATTGATCTTTCTAGGAATGTTGTAAACCCCAGTGGTTAATTCCATGAGCTGAAATGCCTTAGCCTTAGGGATCCCTTTGGAGTGACACAGATGAATGTTCATTTGGGGCACTGATTATCACTTGCCCTTTCAACAGATGGTGGTGTATAGAATGCATTCATATTTCTGACTTATTTGAAGTACCTGTGGGGCTCTCCTTTAGTTCTGGGACTAGACTCCCATATTTTTGAAGGATAAACCATCCAGTTAGCCCCAAGACTGGTGTCTTAGTTGAGTGCATCAGTCATACACCGAGCCTTCTTCAGCCAGGGAATATCAACCTTTCATTACAGATTTATCCTCCCATGAGCTCAACAGCCATCAGATGTTCTGCAGTTTAACAGGGCAGCTTCTTCAAAGAAGGATTTTGCTAGAGCTGTTACGTATCAAATACACTGGAATATTTTTATGGAAAGTCCTTGAACCTTGGACAGCTCCACTGATTCCTATTAAAGGTGGTGCTTGCACAAACAATATATAGAAATACTGAGAGCAGAATTACAATAGTACCTTTATTTCATAGCTACCTGCATGGGATGTACCTTTCCTGAAATTAGAGGGACTGTAGAAGTTCATGTATTTCTTCCTAAAATAGTTTTGACTTTTTATTTTCAGTTCATTTTTCCAATTGCAAGAATATGATTGAAATTCGCTCAAGACATTTAAAGTCTAGAAGTTTGCCATGGGGCCACAGATTAATGTAGCATAAGTAAAATCACCTTCTGAAGTAGGGTTGAATAGTGCACCAAAATATAAAATATTTAGGAGGTGTTAAGGTGGTGACTAAATCTGTGACAGGGTTTGGAGTGGAGGAGGAAAGCAAGCCTTGGGCATGTGCCCTTGCTGCAGTATTAATTATTTCTGTGGTTCAGGGCATGCAGTATTTAGTTTTTTTCCTTCTTTTTGTGCTTTAATCCCATGTTTCCAGCTGAAAGTCACGCTGCCTTTCACTTGTTTGAAATTTGCCCCAAATTTCTCCTCTCGCTCTGCTGTGTGAGGGCACTGACCTCTCCTGAACTTGTGAGGGTTGATGAGTCAGTAGCACTGACTCTGGCACAACAAGGAGAAAAACTCTTTACCATTTTTCCTCCTGTACACCGCTTTTTGGGTGCAAATAAGTTCATTTTGATGGTTAAAAATTGAAATAATGATTAGGAAAGATTAGGGGGTGGGGTGGTGGTAACCAGTTTCCAGATAGATCAGATCAAAGACATGGTTTGATGAAAAGACTACATTCTTATGAATTTATTGTGGCTTTTTTGAGACTAATAAAATCAGTGAGAAACAGTAGAAAGCAGAGAAACTTAAAAGAAAATTCTGCAAAGTCTTTGAAAGAAAATTCAGGAGAAAAAAGCGGAGCCACAACTATAAAACCAAAATAATTCCAAGTAATTTAAAAGCTCTACGTCTGCCAGATGCCATCAGCATAATTCTTGTGTCCTGAAGTCTGTGAGCCCTGCTGAAAATGATTTTGGGAATGTCAGTATTGGCTGGCTGGAGCATTAATAAACATAAACTACGTTTTCGTAGGAACTTGCATAACTTCTGGGGTGGTTACTGCAGAGCACAGTGCTATGAGGGCAGAGTGGTGCTAAAAATCCTTGCTCCCAGCCTTAGGATGTCCCAAACCCAAGGGGGATGCACCCTGTGTGTGCTGATCAGTGCAGGATGGGGGGATGAGGCCCTGACTCAAGATGAGCCAGCAGTGACCCTGGTGGGGTTCCTGCAGGCCCAGTCTGTGCTTTGCTTGTGCTCTTCCCATAAGCCATAATTCTTCTGTTTTGACCTTTTCCTTTTTAAGTAGGGCAGAGAATGGTAAGAGAAGCAGTGAATCATGCCCAGTCCCCTGTGCTTTACACTCAAATAAAAGTACTAGATAGCAAATTGACTAAAACCAAAAAAAGCACAGAAAATCTTGTCCTTTCTTTTAGTTCTCTGCCCTCCCTGAATTCAAGTGTTCCAAAGAGTCATGCCAGCTATAAAACTATTTAAAAAATGTACAGAAAAGTTCTTTTCTCTGAACTTCAATTTCTTTCTGTGAATTAGTAAAACAAAACCCTTACTGTACAGAAATTATTCCAAAATTACTTTGGAACAATTCAAAACAGAAGCTTTTTCTTTTTTTTTTTTTAAGGATGAAAAGTCAAAAGCAGGAAAGAATCCAAAGTGGTTTAACTGTCAGGATTTGTCTTGGCTTTGCTGTTGTGAGAAGTTTGGCCACAAACTATTCACACTCTTAAATTCCCTACCTTAGGGAGGCCTGTGCCACTGAATACCTGCAGGACTCCATAAACATGGAGCTGTGTTTGGAAGAGACTGAAGAATATCTATGGATTAGAAATGAGAATAAAGAATACTTTGGGGATTGCTGGTTCCAAGGAGAGTAGGTTTAGATGGAATTCCTGGCTGTGAGGGTGGGGAGGCCCTGGCACAGGTTGCCCAGAGAAGCTGTGGCTGCCCCATCCCTGGAAGTGTCCAAGGCCAGGTTGGAGCAACCTGGTGGAAGATGTCCCTGCTCATGGCAGGGGGTGGAACTGGGTGGGCTTTGAGATCCCTTCCCACCCAAACCATTCCATGATTATTTTATTACTTGTAATGCTTAATTGTAGCAGAAGCTGGAAGGAATATGAAATTGTTTCAATATTATTTCAGTGCCTCGTGAAGAGGAATTAGAACATAATCTCGAGGGAGAGGGTGCAGGGAGCTGCCAAGTAGTCCATTGGAAAGTAAACTAACTTTGTGTGCCTGAGAAGGATCTAGGAATGAGACCTTCAGGAATCAGGAGCTAGTCTGACTAAACTACAGGTATCATCTAGTGTTGTAACACATTTGCTTTAAAGCCAAGCCTTAGGAATACTTTTAATGAAATTGTGTTAACTACTTGGAAACCATTTCAAAAGGGAGAAGCAGCAAAGTCAAAGCCATTAGTTACAATTTTTACTTTTTTACTTTTTTCATCAATTAATATTATTTTTTATAAATAAACCTGATCCAGATGGACAAACCTCTTGAGATATAGAACAAATACTGGTTTGTTTTGGTTCATGGTCTGTTTTGGTTCATGGTTTGTTTTCCCCTTTGTAGCTCGGAGCTGTCCCTGGGAAATGTGTCCACGAGCTCTCTGCAGGGGACTGTGAGGATTGCTCAGTGTGAGTGCACTGAGGATGACACATGTGAGTGTCTTGTGCCCTCTCTGAGGCTCAACCACACCTACATCATGTGGCTGAAGGTGCTGGCTGGTGTGACACCTCTGTGGTCACCTTTGATGTCAGTCAAGCCCGTTGACATAGGTGAGTATGACCTATATTTTCAATTGTTCTTAATGGGCAACAGCAGCAGGATGTCTCTCCTGGAAAAGAAGGGCACAGACAGGACAGGAAAAGGCTTCCTGGGATTTCTCAGCTCCTAATGCCTGTCTGGGCTCCAGTACAAACCAAAGTGAGCAGAGGCCAGGCAGTCAATGTACTTGTTATTTCTAATTCTTTCCTTTCTAATCAGGGCCTCTCTGTGTTTCATTGTGGGGCTGTGAGGGAGCTTTTCTGTAGCTGAGGACTTAAAAACCGAGGGGAGAAAAAAGCTGCTCCAAAAGTTACTTAACAAATAAACCCACCTCTTTTCACAAGCAGCTTTGTTGTCCTGCTGCTTCCCTTCCTTATACATTCAACACCAGCATTGTCCAAGTTGGAAAACATTCCTCTGTGTTTGATCAAGTTAAACTATACTGACAGTATGAATTTGATATGTGTTGCTGTCCAATATGCCCAGTTACTGCAGATTTGGATGAATTCCATAAAGGCAAGGAGTCTGTCAGCTGTGTGTGTGTGGGAAAACTGAAGTTTTATAAACTTCTTATTAATTTAAAAACTTATGAGTTTTATAAACTTCTTCCCAACTGATGTGCTTTGCAGACAGGATCAGTACAAAGTCTCTGGGTAAGCTAGTTTTGAAGAGGAGAGGTTGCGTTTTTCATCTGCTGCTTTTTAAATTATGATACAGGAAAAAATTAAAAATTCAAACTTGAGTCTGCCAGTATTTAAAATGACATAATTAGTTAGTTCTGCTTAGTGAAGTATGTTTTAAAAATGCATAATATTAGTATATGTTCTGCCAAGATTCAGCTCAATTAAAATTATTTTGAATGTAAAACTATGAATGCTTGTGTAATGTGTATTTTATTTGCTTATAGTAGAGCAGTGGCATCAGCAGAATAGAAATCATTATCTGTGTTCAGAAAGTGTGATCTGATTCGTAAGAGTGTGATGTAAAAGCCTCTGACTTTGGTTTTCAAAGCTCTGCCTCCTCCCAAATCACTCCCTGCTGGGCTTCATGAATTTAATTGCTTTGAGATGGTTTATAAGTAATAATTAAATAAGATCTGACTTAGTGGAGTGAATTTATACTGAAAATAAGAACAGGTTTGTGGTACAACTGAGTGAGATTCCAGTAATACTGCTTATATGAGACACTCTAGAGAGCTGGAAACCCAGTGCAGATGGAAGGGAACACATCCCCACTGCCCAATGGGAATGTTTTGGAAATGTTTTCCCTTCAGTTTTGCACTTGCTGCTCACCCTGCAATGTTTTATAAGAGCGAAACTGTGAATGAGGACAAGGCCAACCAAAAGCCTGGTGATCTGTAAAGGTCTGAGAAACAGATAGAAGTAGGATCTGGGGTCCTTGCCTTTGTCTGAGGAAGTGGGACTACAATCCTAGTGATCATTCCCAATTGCCCATCCCTTCCCCTCTCCAGAGAGTTCTCTCCATCCTCGTGGGAAATTTCCAAACCCTCCATTTTACTTTACCCTAAGGTAGCTCTCCTAGAGACCTTCTTTCAGAACCATAATCACTGTGGAAGGATGGGAATATTTAGAAAGTCCTTGTATACAGTCTTTGTATGAGGACATTATCTCCTGTCTTCTGAGGAGCAGATTGATTTGCTCAGCTCTCCCATCCCTCTCTTACCCATCCCCTCTTTTCAGCCAGGCAGGCTGGTGCTTGGTTGCTGGGAAGAGTCATGGCCCAAGGCAAGGAATTCATGTAGATTTAAGGCAAACACCAGGTGAAACAGCATTTTGTGATCACCAGCTATATAACAGTGCCAGGGCACGCTTTTCCAGTGATGCTACACATCATCAGTGTCACACAGCAGCTGTAGAGCAGCTTGTGAAAACTGAGTTTAAAGAGAAGGTGTGAGAGGGAGTTTTGGCTCAGTAAAACCCAGCAGTCACAGGCAATGAGGTTGGAGCTGAACTTATCAATGAATTTGTCTGCAGTAAAGCCTGAACCTCCTTTGAACCTGCATCTGGAAATGACAGAGAGAGGTCAGGTGAAGATGTGCTGGTCTGAGCCTGCACTGCTGCCATACCCTCTGCAGTACCAAGTGAGGATCTCTGCAAAGCCAGGGCACAGCACTTGGCAGGTGAGGCAGCTCCGTGCTCTTGGATTTCCCACGGTTTTCCCATGAAGCAGTGCAGATCAGGGGGCTCTCCCAGAGCCCAGGATTTCTCACAACCCTCCTTGTCTTTGAGTAGAAACTCTGGTGGGTTGAGGAACATGGCAGGTCTGGTGGAGCTGGGTGTGGCACATTGCCTTTCCCTCAGCTGGGAAAGCTGGACTTTCCATCTGTAAAGAGCCATTACACAGGGATGAAAGACCCATTTCCTGCTGGGTCTTACAACAAACTTCCATCTTTCTGTTTGGATGAAATCCTAGATTCTGTGAAGTCTGAAGGCAAAGCCTTTTACTTTCAGCAACCCCCAAATTCTATGATACATGTGTGTATGTTTAATATTTATAGATTTTATTAGCGAGTTGCTTTTTCTACCACACAACTGGCTCTGGAATAAAAAGCAGCCGTTAATTAGCAATCCATAATGAAATAACTTGTTTTCCACAGAGTTATGCAACTTCTACCAGAATCAAATTCACAGTAAATTTAAAGAAGAAAGCTTTTTTACCCAACTTGCTACCTAAAACCTACTCTCTAGACTAATTTGTGTCTTTCTCTTTTCCTGTTTCATTATACAACAATAATGGCTTGTGATAATCCAACAGATGGTTCAAGTTGCTCTGGAAGCCTCTCTGGCCATTGATAATACCCTATTTGATTCCTCTTACTTGGTTCAAGTGAGGTGCAGGAATCACCAGGGTCTGGGGTTCTGGAGTGACTGGAGCACACCATATGATCTCAGTTTGGGAGGTAGGTCACGTGCAGTGAATAGTCTTTCGGAACAGAACAGATATCCCAGTTTGTTTGTTTTGTGGAATGAGTTTGAGGGTGTTATGGGCTGAAAAATCCTGTGGAAGCACTTGCTCCTTCTGCTCCTCTTTTGCCTGGCTTTTCCTGAGGCTCAGCTCTTTTCTCTGTGCCAGACTTGCATTAGGAGTTCTGGATAACATGTGCAGACTGCAGTGGCAGCTCGTGACACCTCCATGTCTGTGCCGTGCTCACCCAGCACCTGTTCAGACCCAGGAAAAGCTTTTTCCAAGAGGTTTTCCATTTCAAAAGACAGTTGGCAGTGCTGAATCTCTACTCGCTACAAGATTTTTCTTGTAGTGCTTTCTCTCACTTTGTAGCTGAACTGAACACCCAGAACAGAGCTCAATGTACATTTAACAACCCATTTAGGTGTGTAATGCTATGCATAAACTGACTTTCTGATTTTTTTTGTTGGATTTTTCCATGCTTTGCTTAGGATTAACTGGAGATGTTTTGGCTGTGCTGTCACAAGAATCCTCTGAACCATTCCATGCCAGAAGTAATGCTTTACCTGAGCCCTTACATGGACATCTCTTACTGTGGCTAAACATGTCATGTGTGTGCTTAAACCAAGTACTGAGGAAAGAATTAGACTTTTGAAATGGAGCTTTTTCCCAGGAAAACTGAAAATACACAGACCCTTAAGGCAAATAAACATGATACACAGGATGCCTGGTTATTGGTCTAGAGGCCTAACTGGCCCTTAATGTTCTGGATTTACATTTATATAGACATATAAATTAAAAAAAAAAAGTGTGTGTATAGAACTATATAACTTTGAGAATTTTTTAGGGGTGAATACACATTTTCTCTCTCTCACATATGTATATACTCATAATTTTCAGAGGTTTGTGAGTGTATTGAGAAATACAGATTTAAAAGAGGTGCAGTAGTTACTGTTAGATTATTTTTTATTAATCCCATTTATGGGATATGTAATTCTATTAAAAATACATCTCATCAGCAGAATAATCCCAATGTGACAACCTGATGGCAGCAGAGAGGGGTTAATTTCTTCATGCAGGGAGTTCTGGTTTTTTACATCTGACCAGCCTCATGTTCTGATTTATATTTAACATGAAAATCCTTGACAGTGACGATATCCTAAGTGTGCTCTGCTTTCTGAGCAGGCCTGTATTTTGGGGAAATTCTACAAATCTCTGAAGTGGTTCCTCAGCTGTGGAAAGTAAACCTGACCTTTTAAGGATTTTCATGCTGGCTTTGAGATGATCTTTGGCAAACTGCTCCTTTCCAGCAGGTGTTCAGCACCTGTACCTCCCCTGAGTCCCTGACTGATGGAGGCTCAGCTTACACATCTTTACATCCTTGGGAAATTCAGTGTCTTTATGCCTGGGTGAATTTTTGTACTGCTGCCACCATTTGGTGTTAATTACACTGCTGAGATTGTAAAACAAGTTTTTGAGACTTTAATCTGCTGACTTCAGTAGGAGCAGGAGCAGCAACTCCTGGAAAGATTGGTTAATTTTCTTATGTTTCCCTTGTGCTGCTGTGTGTTGCTTCCACTCTACCCTCCAGTGATTTTCTGCTCATTTCACTCATGTTTGCCTGGGGATATTAAAGTTTATTTTTATCAGAATTTACAAACATCAGTTATGGAGAGAGACAGTCCAAGGGTAATTTCTGCTCCTCTGCATTGTAGTTGTTAACAGTGATTAAGAAGTTAGAAATACAACTGGATGATGATGATAATGATAATAATAATGGTGATGATAATAATAATTGTAATTGCTATTTTCTAGCTTTTATGTTTTCTTTTTGTTCAATTTCTAATCTCAACAGCTTTTTTTCCCCTTTCTTCCCTTTTCTGCAGCTGAAGTCCTGTACTTCCCTCCTCAGATCCTGACCAGTGCTGGTTCTAATGTTTCATTTCACTGCATCTATAAAAACAAAAGCAAGATTGTAGAGCCCCAGGAGGTTGTTTGGTGGCTGAATTTAGCAGAAGAAATCCCAGCCAGTCTTTATACCCTTGTGAGCGATCGCGTAAGCAAAGTTACTCTTTTCAACTTGAAAGCAACCAAACCTAGAGGAAGTTTCTTCTATGACACATTGTACTGTTGTCACCAAAGTAGGGAATGTCATCCTAGATACGCTGAATTATATGTAGTAGGTAAGATTCCAGCTGGATTTTAAATTCTCCTTTTGGTGCATTTTAATAGTAAGGTCAGAATATTTCCATTTGAACTCCAACAGCTTTTATTGAGCATTGTTTTTGTATAAACCATTGTATCTTTATTAATAAGCTTTCAATGTGTTTTAATTAGATATGAATATTAATATCACCTGTGAAACAGATGGATACTTGACTAAAATGACTTGCAGTTGGTCTGCAGACCCAAACATGTTACTACTCCCTGGGAGTTCCTTGCAGTTAAGATACTACAGGTATGTAGAGCTTTTAATTCTCTCTTTGTGATAGGAAAGCATTGCTCAAAATATTATGCCAGCGAAGAATTCTGAATACATGCAAGTAGAAAATTCCAGTTTCTGTAAGCTGGATTTCTTCCAACTGGAGCTCCAAAGGTATAACTGTGTGTGCAGAAGGGAACCATAGATACCTGAGTATGTAACATACATCTATTTACGTTTTTCAGCATTTTAAAAACTGTAGATGCACTTTGGGAGCCGGCTCTCTTCAAGTAGTTTGCTTGGATCAGTTATAAAAATTATTCTGGTTGCTCATATTAACAAATTGTAAAGAAATAAGAAAAAAGCCCATTCACAGAGTGTCTGAACACTGGAGCAATGGCCTGGGGGCTGTAGAATCTCTGTCCCTGGAGACTCTCAGATCCTGACTGGATGGGGCCCTGGGCAACTCCATCTGTCTTTGAATTTAACCCTGCTCTGAGTTGGATGTAGGACCTGGGACCTCTTAAGGCCTCCATATAATCTTTGATTTTTCTATAATTCTGTTATCTTTTTTTCTATATGCAGACAGATAAAAATATAGAATGAAATAAATTCATTTCAGATGGAAAAAATCTTGCTTAGAGAATCAAATCTTAGTTCATGAAGTGGATATTGCATCTTTGACTACAGCAATTCATAGAATCCTAGAATCCCAGAATGGTTTGGGTTAGAAGGGACCTCAAAACTTGTCTCATTCCAACCCCCTGCCATGGGCAGGGACACCTTCCTCTAGACCAGGTTGCTCCAAGCCCAGTCCAACCTGGCCTTGAACACTTTCAGAGATGGGGAGTTCTCAGTTTTCCTTATGTTTTGTTTTCAGATAGTTTAATTTTGTCTGTCTTTTGGAGAACTGGGATGTTGTGTGCAGCAAACACATTATTGTTTGCAAAATACAAACCTGATTATGAAATCAGTGGTACCATCACCCTTATCTTCATTCATCTGCACAAATGTTGCTCCTGGTAGTGTTGTTTTACCATGAAACTGAAGAATCCCTTTGAGTTACTGATATATTGAGCTTGAGAGTTTCCTAGAACCACTTTAGTCTTTATGTAAACAAGACAGACAGACAGACAACCCTTCCTGAGAGAAAAAATCTCCAATCTTACTGCTCTGTTGGACTGGATATGCAGAAATTTTGGCAAACTGCTGAGGGCCTAATCCTTTGGAAAGCCAAACTGTCTTCTCTGTTGGAGATAGGCTGAAATTTTGAAGTATCCTGTACCAAGGTGAATATTTCACAGGGTTTTCTGGACTAAAGAAATAACTGGAATGCTTGAAATTTCAAGTGAAGGCTTTTCAGGTAGGATTAGTGACTGGCTGACTGCTAAGGTAGGTTTTGTTTAAACTGTCTTCACAACTATGAATATAATGAGTGTACTACTGGGTAGGGAGCTTGGAATAAAACCCATGCTGCTCTTGCCATGTTTTTTATTCCCACCTTTTCACTGTTCAGGTCTAGCTAAAAATGTTATTTTCTAGTAGGAGGTGATAATCTGTACATTTGTTAGTGTTCCTGCTAGATCAAAGAGTGACTTTAAGACTGCTTGCAAATGCTTCCCAAATGCTGGTGCTTACTGTGATCCTTCTTTTTGTCTTTTTTTTTTTGTTGTTGTTGTTTGCTCATAGTAAGATCTGAAAGAGGAGAAAATAAAAAAAAAAAATCTTCTGAGTTACTGCTGCTGTTAGATTTTGCAGCTGAAATGCAGCCCTGCAGTGATGTGTGTGATGGTTTGGCTGCTGGAGTTCTGTTTTGCTTGGGTTGTTACTACATCTTCCTCTACAGTCAGTGCTGCCAACAGAAACAGCTCCGAAAGGATCATTCTGGGAGAACAGGGAATGCCAAGCTAAACCTCCAAAGCACAAGGCACTGCTTTAATCAGTATTAAACTGGACAGGAAGAGGAGAGATTCAACCAAGTGTAACTCTTGTGGTTCAGTTGAGTAACTAATACCCTCTCTGGTCCCTCTCACCACACCCTCTGAGCTGTGCACAAGCTGAGGAGAAATTTGAAAACTTTCCATTTCCAACAAGTTATCCAGGCCCATTTTATCCAGAAGCCAGTCTCCTCTCTTCTGTTGCCAGATGTGATAACTGTATTTTAAAAGCAGCCTCCAGAACTGATATTTTATGGGATTTCCATCTCCTGGAGACCTCACTGTACATGTCTGACTGGTCTGTGTGGCAGCTTTCCCCTGATTTCCAGTTGGTATTTTGGAAGTCATTCCTGACTGGAGTGAATTCTTGGCAGGAGATCTGCCTTGCTGTGTTTATTGCTAACACCTCAAATCACATGATTGATGAGTTTATGGAGCTGCTTTGCTGTACCTGTTTCTTCTTGTCATGAGTCTCCTATCAAAACATTTTGCACTGGGGAGAGCCTTCATGTCCTGCTTTTTCCAGGCAAGGAGCCAAAGCTTTGAGGAGTGACACTGCAGTGCTATTTAGCCATTTAGTGCAGATTCAAGATCTGCCCAAATAATCATCAAACCCCCCAGGATGGTTCCAGTGACACTATTTGTTTTAATTACCTCCAGACTTCTGTTTTGTTGTTGCCATGAGCAGCTTAGAATTGCAATGTATCAACTGAATGTGGGTTTTTTTTTTCTTTTAAGGAGCCAGATTTATTGTTCTGAGTTTCCAAGCCCATCTCCAGAATCAGAGGTGAAAGAATGCCATTTGCAGAAGAATCATTCCTACGAGTGCACATTTCAGCCTATTTTCCTTTTATCTGGATATACTCTGTGGATAGAGTTCAAGCACTTCCTAGGAACACTTGAATCCTCCCCAGCCTGTGTCATTCCAGCAGATGTGGGTAGGTTGAGGTTCATGCACATCTCTCTTCACTTGTGACTTTGGATTTCAGTCCTTAGATGGTGTAGTTAAAGTTTTCCACAGCATTTAAAATAACTTAAAGAACATAAAAACTTTGATATTGTCTTGGATTACATGTTATTTCCATACATTTTGCTTGGCACAGGAGCAAATTGTAACTGCACCAAATACCTGTAAAATTAAACATCCAGTTTTGCATGTTTATTTTCCCTACACAAAATACAAACGTTATATTGAAAAAGGCAGCTCGTTTTTTAATTAGGTAATTTTTGGTTATCTAACTTTTCATACCTCCTATGCCTTCAATTAGTTTCTATTTTGATAAGTAGGGCACTATATGTATTATTTACACAGTTATATATTTATTTAAGTTCATGGGGACTGTTCATGCTCTTTCATACTTACGCAAAGTTTCTTTTGTGACACACACAGCACTTAAATTTGTATAAATCAAGAGGCAGGAGCAGTGTTTGAGTGTTTTCAAAGACTCAAAAATGTGCAAATCACGGTTTATAATCTGTTCTGTGACTCAGAGCATTCATTGGGTATTTTTTAGACACAAATGTGAACATCTTTAGCTGTTTGTCCCAGGGCAGGGATCAATGCTGAATGCCAGCACCAAAATAACCTGTTGTGCCTTAAATTAAAATGAAACACAAGGAAATGTGCCCATGGATTATGTGTTTGCAGCACAGTCCTGCTTTCCTTGGAATTGCAGAGGCTGCAACGTGTTACCTGCTACCCCCAGGATGAGGCAAAAGTAATCCATGATGATTGGATTTAATGAGGAATGTCAGTGCAGATATTACAGCCATTTTTTTTCTCTTCCAATTTTCCAGTGAAGCCGCTTCCCCCTTCCAATATCAGAGCAGAACTCACCAGGAATGTGGGGCTGCTGAACGTGAGCTGGACAAACCCTGTGTTTACAAACAGTGATCTGAAATTCCAGATCCGGTACGCAGTGAACAGGGAAGAGATTCCATGGGAGGTACTGTCTTTTTTAGTCTGAATTGGAGCAGGAATCACTGCAGTGTTGTCATTTACTGTGTAGCTGCTTTTTGTGGAATATTTGGCATGGAAGAAATCACAGGCATAAGCATTTGCAGTATCTAGCAAAGGAATATTACTGATTATTTCACTTTCTCATTGGATTAATTTTCAGGGATTTTGACTCCAAGAGCTGCCTAAACAGACTTTTGCTCTTATTCTACATTTTTTTAACCTTCTGTCACAGCTCTGTGAAGTCTCAAGCACCCCAAGCAGCTCAACTGTGATAGAAGTTGAGCAGCTCTGTGTGGAGTACGTTGTCCAGGTGCGGTGCAGGGAGCTGGATGGATCCGGGTACTGGAGCGACTGGAGCAGACCAGCCCAAACACTTGTACAGGACATCAGAGGTCTGTGTCCTTCCAGGGGCACTTTGAGATCTGGGCCAGTGTTTTCCAGGCTGAGGAGTGACACTGTTCTTCCAAACTGTCATTTTGCAGCTCCCTTGCAAGGCCCTGAATTTTGGAGAATCATTACCGAAGATCCAGCAAGGAGGCAGAAGAACGTTACGCTCGTGTGGAAGGTGAGAGCAGCCACCATTTTGATCCAAAAAATGGCAAGAAATGCCAAAAAGGGAGTCTGACAAGCACATGCTTCCCTGTGAGGCAAACTCAGGCAGTCATTGCTTATGGGACTTGGGATCTACCTTTTGCTTGGCTTATCCTGGTGAATACTGGTTATACTACTGGGATGCAGTTGGAAATGGTTTTTCCTTCTTGGCTTTTAAAGGCTGAGGCAGGACGGAGGAAAAAGTCCCTCAATGCCTGCTCACTCCTGTTTGCCCATGTTGTGTGCAGTTGGCTGCTCTGGGTTTTGAGCCCTAAAAAATGTGTGAAACAGTGAATTACTGTAGGAATCTAAAAGTTTGTCTTTCCTTGTTCTGGGAAGAGAGGGAATAAGTGTCAGCTCTCTGAGAGGCACAGAAGGAATTAAGTCTTTACATGGACTCCAGTGCCTTGGCTAAAAGGACAGGAGCCAGGCTACAGAGTATATATATATATTGGGTCATATTTTCTTAAAATTGGCACTGCCCAAATAACATTTGCTTTGGAAATGAGAGCCAGGGGAATGAATTAATGCCCATTTTTGCGACAGCCACTGATGAAGAACCACTCGTTGTGCAGCGTGAGCCGATACATCATAAAGCACCAGACACCAGGGAACACCTCCTGGGTGGAATATGTTGATCATGGCACCACCTGGTCTTTTCCATGGACTGAGCACACTCACACCATCACAGTTTTAGCCATGAATTCTGTTGGAGTTTCTTCAGTTAATTTTAATTTAACTCTCTCACAGCAAATGAGCACAGGTAAGAACAATGATGAACAGCCATTTTGGGAGTCACAAGGAATCCTTGTGATGCTCTTTCTTTGTAATAAAATTCCCTCTGTTAGAATAAGAAATGTTTTATGGGGATACTTTTAGCAGCAAGAGAGCTATTTGAAAACTGAAATTTCCATTGTATGAAAATCCTAATGATCTTTGAGTTGGGAAAAGAGTTGGCTGTCACTGGGCTGACTCCCCTCCTAACAGAATATAAAGCAATTAGTCAAAGAAAAATGAAATCCTACTGTAGAACTAATCTTTCATCTACTTTGTCTTGGGAACACGCAACATTCCTGCTGGGGAATGTTTTGTTGTTTCCAAAATGAAATGTGGTTGTGTTTCTGGCTGCTCACCTGACAGGCTGCCAGGGTGCAGAGTTCTCAGAGGTTTGGCTTGACCTCCTGAGTAGCAATTCATGGATTTGGCTGCACTCTGCTGTGTTTATTCCTGACAGTTCAGTATTTGCTGATAATTTTTGGTTAAGGATAAATAAGGAGGTGCATATGAGAATCGGGATATGTGATGTCTAAGAAATTTGATCTGTTTAGCATTTGGGACTGGTTGGTGTAAACTGAACTTAGAGAGAAACATCTCTGCTGATGTCAACTGAAGATCAGGCTTTATTAGGTAGGAGATAACTAAACAAGTGTTCAAGTGCTGAAATTTAGCAGTCCTGTATAGTTTATGGGATGTTGATCGTGGCTGTTCCCCCTGTTCCTCAGTGGACGCCGTGCGGTCGCTGAGCGCTTACCCCGTGAACAGCACCTGTGTCATTGTGGTCTGGACTCTCTCACCCCAAATCTATATGATAACATCCTTTGTTATTGAGTGGAAGAACCTTAACAAAGAAGAGGAGACAAAATGGGTGCGAGTTCCTCCGAATACGAGTAAATATTACATTTATGGTGAGTGCGCACTTGAAAATATAACGCATAATATGTTATTTTGCTGAGCTTTTGGAGTCCTATTTTTATTTCTGATGTCTTTCATGGTAAGGACCAACAGACAAATTTTTGATGATTATTAGAGGATTGACTGTTTTAATAATCAGGTTAACAGAGTGAGGCTCAGGAGTGTGTTCATTTTGTGGCAATACAATAAAATTAGTTCTGGAATATTGAGTACAGAAGCTAATTAGTTTAGTATGTGCTTTTCATTTGCATTTTGGCTTTAACCTTAAAAGTTTTTACAGTAGATCCATGAAGATGTTAATTCCATGACAGAATAATGCTGGATTATCCAGGATGGATTAATAGTTTTAATCTTGTGATATTAAAGTAGGGATCTATAAAGGATTATTTCCCTTATTGCCTTCTCTGGGTTGATCTGAACTCTGAACTGTGACCAGAGCCTCTGTGGAGGGAATTGTCTAAAAGTTGGATAATATTTTGGATTCAAATGTCTGATTTCCTCTTTCCAGATTACTTTATTCTAATTGAGAAGTACCAGTTCAGCCTGTACCCTGTGTTTGCTGGAGGAGTTGGCAGAGCCAGAGCAACGGATCAGTTTAGCAAAGGTGACTGACAGGATCTTTGTCCTTGTCTTTTATAAAAAAGGAGCTTGTAAAAGTGACCTTTAAATGCAAAAGTCTCTGTCTTACCAGAAAAAAATATCAGTAATGAAGCAATTGTAATGTAACTACAAACAGACTTCAGTAGCTTTAATTTGAAAACTCTGTGGGATGAGTTCAGTGAGAGACTAAATTCCTATTTAAAATGATTCCTTCCTTTTTGTCTATTTATTCTCAAGGGAAAGGTTTGTTGATTTGCAGTGACACTGTTTATCAAGGCTTTTTTCCATTTAAGCAGTTGTTTCTATTGTGTGTTATTTCCCTGTTGCAAACTAGTTGTTCACAGACAAATTATTTTTCTGCATTATTATCTGAACTCCTTTATTTCCAGGTGGATTTGAAAATGAGAAAAATGGCAGCCTCTCTGTGGTTCTGCCAATAGTTATTTCAACCTCTGTTTTGTTGCTGGGAGTGTTGCTGGTTTCACACCAAAGGTATGTTTTTTGTTGTCATCTAGAAGTCCCAGGTGGTGCAGCTTCACTGGTCCCAGTCTGCTGAACTGGTTTCACAGAATCCCAGACTGGTTTGGGTTGGGAGGAATATTAAAGCTCTTCCAGTTCCACCCCCTGCCATGGACAGGGACACCTTCCACTATCCCAGGTTGCTCCAAGCCCCGTCCAACCTGGCCTTGGACACTTCCAGGGATGGAGCAGCCACAGCTTCTCTGGGCAACCTGTGCCAGGGCCTCACCACCCTCACAGGGGAGAATTCCTTCCCACTATCCCATCTAACCCTGCCCTCTGGCAGTGGGAAGCCATTCCCCCTTGTCCCGTCCCTCCAGGCCTTTGCCCAAAGTCTTTCTCCAGCTCTCTTGGAGCCCCTTCAGGCATTGGTGGGTTGGGGTCATCCAGCACAGACTGTCTGTACCTTTGATAATTTGCAAAACTGCCACCTGGTATGTCACTTCTTTATTTCTTTATATTTTGCATTAAATTTCAGCCATCTATAATATCTAAAATGAATGTTTCATGGTCATAGTGCTCTGGATAAATAAAATTGCAGAGATTCCTTTTCTGTACAGTACAGCCCCTATGACGTACCAACTCCAGCATTTACCTGACATTTCAGAATGAAGAAGCTGCTTTGGGAGGATGTTCCAAACCCCAAGAATTGCTCGTGGGCACAAGAAGTTAATTTTCAGCAGGTGTGTATTTCCCTGGTGATGCTGCTTCCCCCAGCCCAGGGATTCTGGCTGCTGTGAGTTCAGGACTGGGCTCTACCTGTGGGTTAGGCCAGACCCTGCCTAACTTCTGAAGGAAGAACTTGGAGCCTCTGGAGTCAGCAGTACAGAGAGCTGAGAGCTGGAAAAGTGCCAGGACCAGACCCCAAGAGCTCTTTTGAATGTGTAAATTTTACAGCAATTAGTGAATCAGTTGTAGAATCCCGTGGCTGTAATGTTTATGCACCTTAGTTTGTATCAGCAAACAAAGCTTCTCCTGGTCCCAGAGTATCATCACTGAGACAATAATCCAAATTTAGGTCTGGTAATTCCAAAAGAGCATCTTAGGGCCATGCTTGAGCTTCCCTCAAGCATCTTAGGGCCATGCTTGAGTGGGTTTGGATCTAGTTCCATCTGGTCAGCAAAGTCTGGGAGCTGGTGACCTGAGGCTGACTTTTCTCCTGAGTTTCATGGAGCTCCTTTGCCTGTTGTTTAATGCAGTTTGCACCTAGCTCACACCATACATGCATCTGGAAATCCAGCTGTGTCCTGGCTGATACTCCAGAGGATTCCATTTCCCAAGACACTGGATTATGCATTGTATTTGATAAATATCTGACAGGCTTTAATGAGTGATGTGTCAGAGCTGACAGATGGTGGCCTTTGCCACACAGCACCCCTGGTCCTTGGACGTGGTGGGTTTAATCTCTGTGGGCAACTCTATCTGTGTTTGCTGTGGTGCCAGAGAGCAGATCCCGGGGGCTGGGATGAGGGAAGGGATATAAACATCTGTGTTCAGGATAAACCACCTGCCTCAGGCGAGCAGGTGTATGAGGGGGACACAAGGTTTTTTGGTTGTTCAAAAGCTTCCTGTTAATTTTGGTGATGGACTTGTGTGGGACAAGTACTGAAGTCACAAGAAATCAGTCCTGTCACGCGAGGGCCGAGGCAACACTGATAGCGAGTTTGGAGTGACTGGAAGCCCAAGATACATGAGTTGTACACTCTTTGCTATAATTGCACACTCCTCTGAGTATTTTGACATGTTCCTCATTGTTTTGGCAGCTTCCCTGCTGTAAAACATGGTTTGTTGATATACATAAAACCTGGTTTAGTCTGTTTTGTCCTGAATTCGTTAGGAAATATATGTTTTTCAAGTGAGTTTTCCTTTGTAGCTCTCGGAGTGCTGGTGTTGCTGTCAGTTCATCCTGCTGTACACACACCTGTATTAAGTAGTAGTAAATCCTATATTTCTCTGAAGTAAAGGTGTTTCTCTTCACCCAAAACATAGAGCTGCTGCTTAGATGGAGATGTTCCAAAAATACTATGGACAGGCTGAATTTGACCCTGAATAATACAATCCTAGCAAGGAAAGTTACTTCAGCTGCCATATAAATTATTAAATCTGTTGAGGAAATATATTGTAGAGGATTTTCAACTATATGCTCTTGAAAAACAATGTGGGAACTTGATGTGGCAAAACTCCAGAGTGCTCAGAGTGCCCTGGGAATGCACTCAGGTGTTTGGATTTGTGATCCATAAAATCAGTACCTTGATACTGCAATAAAACTTTTAAGCAAGAGATGAGCATTAAAATATCTCTTTTCTTCCAGCCTGAAACTTTTGAGCATCTTTTTACCAAGCACCCTGAAGCCACCTCATTTGAACCTCTCCTAGATGCAGAGATAGTGCTGGAAGACATCAGTGTCACCAAAGCCTCGGAAAAAGAAGACACACAAGATTTTTTAGGAATTGCTTCCACATTTCCAAACCCCCAAGACTCTGAACGTGACTCTGCTTGCTCGAGCAGCCACTTCAACAGCAGCAGCTCCTCCCAGAGCTCCCAGGAGGTGCAGGGCAGTGGAGGAATTGACCTCAAATATACGACTGTTGTCGGCAACTCCCGATCCGATGGGCTTTGCGAGTGGAAAATGAATCCAAGGAGTTGTTTTGATCGATGCTTCTTAGCAGAAGATTCCACGGTTTCAGGTGCCTTCTCCAGTAGCACTTGGGAGGTGGGAAGTGGAGTGTTTCTGGTGTTCCCTGGCTCACCGGGCAGGCAGCCCAGCAAGACCCTGTCCCTTATCTCTTCAGAGGGATTTTCAGAGCCTTCCGACCACGACGATGCTTTCACGGACAGTCTTGAGCGGAGCCTGTGTTACCTTGGGATAACACCATTGGAAAAAAGAGAAAATGCTATTTTTCTAACAGAAAGTTCTGAGATGCTGTGTCAGTTCCATACAAGGAATCTGCTCACAGACACGGGAGTTCTTCAGCACACACCGACGGATGTCCATGGATTTATCCAAAGTAGCCTCAAGCCCAAAGCCATGGTGCCATATGTGCCACAGTTTGGGATGGCTGCTGCCAAAGGAAAGGAGGCCACAGAGAAAAACTCTGCTGTCATCACACCATAATTTGAGACTACTAGTGGTTTTTTAGGTGTTGATGCATTCCCCTATTCTTCCCTCTCCTGACTTCCTCCAGGAGCTCCCCTCTCTTGGAGCTGGGTTCTATATTTAAGTGCCAGGATTTAAGTAGGAAAAAATTCCATTCCTTGACCTAATTTTCATATGTGAGGCCTTCCTTTAGAGATCTGATTGTCCAAGTTACCTCAGGTACCATGTTACCTATTGCTGGTGCCTGTTAGAGGTGTTACATCTGACAACTCCAGTGAAGAATTGGACTTGAAATCAGATTGGGTGCTGTAGACATTGAGGTGAGAGGCTTTGGGAGATTCCCAAACACTCCTCAAGGGCTCAGAAGGATTCAACACCATCCACCAAATGAACCCAATGCCCTTCTTGTACAGTCACTGACTGTCCTTTTGTCCTGGTGTGGGTTCCATCCAGTTCTGTAGCCTTGAGCTTCTCTCCATTTCTTGTTGTCCAGCAGTTTTCCCCTGGGGAGAGCACGTGTATTGGCAGCACAGACCCATGCACATGTCTTCTCTCTGTTTAGGAGTGAAGTGTCTCCTCAAACTGCATTCAAAGAGCTTGTTCTGGTTTTAGGGTACACCTGGGGACCCCAAGGATGAGGGAGCAAGGAGTGACCTAATGTGTAGACTGAAATATTTATATGGGAGGTGGTTTTGTGGGGGGAAAGCTTGAATGTGTCATTTCACTGGGAATGACTTGTGACACCAAGTTGAGCTGGATGTGGTTGGAAGGAAGGGGTCAAGCAGTGAAAGGCTCAGGGAAGCCTCAAGAAGAGGAAGAGAATAAAAATTCTTAAGTTTCCATTAATCATGGGTGTTACCTGGATAAACTGATGTTTGGAAGTTAAACATCCACACTTTTGTTGTTGAACATGAGATTCCAGTACAAATGGTACTACCATAAAACTGACATCTCTCCCAACCACTTTCCTAAGATTCTGCAGTAGAAAAGACAGGAATTTGATCCAAGGACCCTGTATTTTTGATCTTGTGTGAGCTAACCTGTCTGTATGGACTTGGAGAAGTCAGTTTGCCTCCACAACCCTGCTCCACTCAGCCAGAGATCTCCAGGTGGGAGAAAAATCAGGTCTTGGAGAAGTCAGTTCGCCTCCACAGCCCTACTCCAGTCAGTGGGAAAGCTCCAGGTGGGAGGAAAATCAGGTCTTGCATTCTGGCTGTATTTTCTGGGATAACCAGGTAAAAAAGCCCATACCTATTTGCAAGCCAAATCTGTTGTTTTTGTGGGTTTTTTTTACTTCATAGTTGGTAAATATTTTTGTACATGTGCCTTTTCAGAGAACTATTTTGAGGAGCTAAGAAGGATGAATTTATTGTGTATTCCAAAGCTAAATCTCTGTAAAACTTAACAGAGGCAAAACCAAAAGGGCAAAACCCAGCGACAATAGTAAAAACCAAAGGGAGTGTGAATTTAAGACCAGCTTAACACAAAACCCAGCTGCTGGTTTTTTTGGACAAGCTGCTGACCTGGCTCTTGTGGGCTGCTTTGTTTCTGATGTTGACTGTGATGCAGATCTGATGTTCTGGTTTCAAAAATATTGTGTGTGGTGAGGGATTAAAAGATGTTTTCTGTTGAGGACCCCAAAACTTGCTTTCACTGTGATTGGAGGCTGTGGGACAAACCTGCAGGTTCCTGCAGCATTCCAGGGGTAAAGCTGTGACAAGCATTGAGGGGAATGCTGACTTAGGATTTATCTGAGAGAAGGAATTCCCTCCTGCCGGCATGGGAACTTGATGTGGCACAACTCCAGGGTCCTGGGAATGGGCTCGGCTGTTGGATTCTGCCTCTCCAGGGGGTTTGTCCACCAGATCCAACATCCCCTGGAGTGTGAAGATGTGGGAGGTGAGTGTCCAGAAAAATAATTTAGCTGTGTTTGAAGATCTTCTTTCTCAAGACGTGAAGAGCTCACGTTGATTTTAGCGCACTCAGTCCTTACCCAGTAACTCTGTAAGGACAAGAGTAGCATTAACCGTGGGAAGGATCAGCTGGGGGAACCAGGGAAGGCTTTCCTGGGAATGTGGGAAAATGCAGGAGTTAACCTTCTGTCCCTGTCATGCAGGACTGTGCCTCCAGCTGTGCTCAGGAATTGCTCTGTTAGGAGAAGTGCACAGGGTTTTCCCTCGATGGATGGTGGTATCAGCACTTTTAGGAGTCCAGCCTGTCCTCCCACTGCCATCCCATGTTTTTTACAAATGGCCAGACCAAGTGTTGCTCCTTAGGAAAACAAATTCATCTGCTCTACAGAAATCCTGCTGTGGATGTCAGAAATACAGCAAATGTGAGCTGGTCTCTTCTGCTTCAGCAAAAAGAGATTTTCAGTGTAATTAGTGTAGAACCAAGTGACAGAATCCCTTCCTGGGGTTCCTGGTCATGCAGGTGAACCCAGGTCCTGACCCACAGCTGAGGCCACAGCTGTACCAGTTTATCCCATAAATAATTCCTGAAACTGCTTCTCAGTCTGGCATTTTCATCCGGATCAAACGGACATTCGATCCCTCTCTTCACCTCTCTCTGCTCACATATAAAGCCAAAATCTGCATATTCTGAACCCACCATCTGCTGCGTCTGCCTTGCCCTGGCTCCAGTTACAGCTTCAACTCCGGCCGCTCCTGCAGGCAGCAGCTGCCTTTGGGAGAGGAAATTAGGAGCTGGGACAAGTTATCTTGTTATTTTCCACCATTATTTTTCCCCCTCAACTTCAGGTCAGTTTATTTGTGTAACACAGCTGAGTCCTTCCCGTGCTGTGGCAGATCACAGGGGTTTATTCCATGTTTCCAGCCAACTCCTTCTGCCCCGGTGCAGCCACTACATGTGTTTGAGGCAGGAGCAAAATATCGTGGGAGAGACGGAGATGGGAAGGTGCAGTGCCTGGGCAAAGGTGGTTTTGGAAGGTAGGGTGATTTTTGTTGTAGTCAGAATAGAAGCTCTCACTCATTTCAAAACAATTGTCCATGGGGCCCAAGGGACAGAGGAAGGAGCTGAAAGGAGCTCTGTAGCAGGAGCTGTCCTTGAAACTGGAGAGGAACAGAGCCGGGAGTTAGTGCTCACTGCCTCTCTTGGCAGGAGACCTGGGAAGTCCCTGCCAAGAAACAGGGAGAAAGTAGGGAACAGGGTCATGCTGGGATCTGCATCAGAGGAACAGGGTTCCTGGGGACAAAATGGGTTTCAGCTGATGCCCTTCACCTTCAGCCCTGGTCTGATGGGGTCTCCTCTGTCAGTGGCTGTCACTGGTGAGCAGGTGTTTGCCTGTCACAGTGAGCCATCACCTGGTGTGGGAGCCAGTCCTGCCCCAGGGTTTCCCACTGGAAAACTCGCTCATCGACATGTTTTTTTTTTTTTTAATTTGGGAAAACCCTTAGAGTTATACTTTATAGGGCTGGACCTGAGGAGCCCAGAGCTGCTGCCTGAGACACATTTTTCTCAGCTGTCTCTGGAAGTGTGAAATCCTGTTGTCCTGCAGTGCCCCACACTGTGCAACTGGGCACAGGGAGAGCTCAGAGGATCAGGGGCAGGTGTCTCTGCTTTTGCTTGGCTGGATGATCTTAAGGGTCTTTTCCAACCGAAATGACTCTGGAATTCTCTGATCTGGCTCATTTGTTGCACACACACCTGGTCCTGCTGTGTCCATGTGTGCAGGTGCAGCAGTAACTGATGGAAGAGCAGATTTCCTGCCCAAATCCTCCTCCATTGGTGCTGTTGGCACAGCACGAACCGCATGGAGTCGGCTCCGGGCTTGGCATTTCCCTCCTGGATTTGTGGGATACTCCTGTGCTCAGACTCTGCAAGGTCTCCCTGTTATTTGGAGTGAGCTGAGGCATCGCTGTGAGCAGCTCCTGCTGCCCACAGTCACAGTTCAGGGACTGAAATGGCAACACAAAGCCTTTGAGTACCCTGAAAAGCCACCAAGTCCCACGGGATGGGTTGTCCCTACCTTCCCTTCCCTGCTCCTGGGGAAGGACCCCCCATGTCCCCACTCTTTAATCATCCCTCTAGGCACTGCAGAGCCTGGGGGACAGGCCAGGCATGGCCACTCTGCCCTGGGAAGTGTGAAGGATCAATGGATCACTTATTTTGGGACACGAGGAAAAGTCCTGTGATGCAAGTGGGCTTTGCAGCTGGACACTGGATGGGGAGAGAGATCAATGGAGGTGAGCAGTGAACACATGGAAAGTTGAGGTTTTTTCCAAGGAATACCCAGGTGGGTTGGTGTGGGCTGGTGGGGGTTTTTTTGGTGTTTATTTAAATAAACACAGAAGCAAGAAATTTACCCCCTTAGATATTATTTTTTTATAGCCACCATCTCCATGACACCTCTATGAGCAAGGCCTGAAATCCTCACCTGCCTCCCCCCTCTGCATCACCCACTGCTGGGCTTACCCTGACCAGCTCCTGGGAAACCTGCTTGGAACTGGGAAGCCAGTGGATAGCTGGGGATGGGGAGGCAGGAACAGGACACACTCCTTTTGTGTGTCCTTCTATAAAAAAACCCTGATCAAACTCAGAAATTAATGTGCTGGGGGAAGAGTATTAATTTTTGGAAACTGCTAAGGTTGTCTGTAATAAATACTTCAGTATGATGCACTTCTGGAGGGAGTTTCCATAGTTATTTGAATACATATATGCAAATATTATGATAGTCAAATATTATTTAAGTAATAATATAATATACAAAACAGTTGCTTTTATTATCCCACTTTGTTAAAATTTTACTGCAGTGAACCACCACTACCACTAACAAGTTATCCCTGCTTCTCTCTGGGACACAGGGACTCGCTGTTGCTCTCCATTAACTCTCAGTGTGCCTCCTCAGTCAGGGTTTTATGATAATAACACAAAACTGCTTTTATGTCAGGGAGTTGGAACTAGATGACCTTTAAGGTCCCTTCCAACCCAGGATTCCATAATTTTAAAGCATGGAAGTGAGTGATACATCCTTCAAGTCATTACCCTGTGATTTTGCTGTGGATGTTCCACATTATGTGTTCTCTGTTGCAGAAAAGATAATTAAAATGCAGGTTTCTGGTAGGAATTTCTGCAAGAGGAAGGATCCCGTTCTTCCAGTCCTCCTTCTGCTGGGAAAGCAATAGGAATTACTTCTAGCAAGGTTTGAATTAAGTCCATAGGCCGTGGCGTGCATCCAGATTTTTCCAACGTGCCGCAATCAAACTCTGGGATTTCAGTGCTGACCCAGTGCCCAGATGCTGCAGTTGACAAGGACATGGTGGCAGCGCTGTGGCTCTCACAGCAGAGCTCTGCAGTGCTGGCACCCAGCCCCAGCAACACCAAAAGGACCAAAAAATAGCTGCCTTTCAAGAAGAGCCAAACTGGAAAGACACAGAATCCTTGTGGATGGAAAACCAGGAGGTTTTGGCAGGTGCCATTCTGTTCACTAATGATCCCAAACAAAAGAAAAGGGAATTGTCTGTGTGAGACTCTAATTAATTACTACCCATCAGGAGCTGCTTATGCAAGAGCTGTCATCAGCAAAGCAGGGCCAGGCACTGAGAGACTCTCCCTAGGAGAGCTGAAAATCAGTCTTGATGGCTTCTGAAATAATGCAGCGTCCTGCTGGGAGGGAATGAATGGAAAAACAAATTATGAAGAGAGATGGAGGAAAGGAGATCCTGGGGGGGCTTTGAATGTGGATGGAAAGACGTGGCCAGCGATGTCTCTGGGCTGTGTGGGGCCTGTGTGTGATAAAGGTCATGACAGTGCCCACCTCTGCAGTTCATATCTAATTAGAGGGTCTTGTTTGGCCTTTCTCACTGCCAGTGAAGTGCAGCCCCCCTCTTTCCATAGTCCTGGATGGGCCCTTTCTGGATGCAAATGAAGCTCATTTGCTATCACTGAAAATTACTTCAAAAGCATCCATTTGTGCCTTCAAAGCCGAGAGGAGCATTAAGAACAGGTAACAAGCACAGAACTGCCTCGTGCTACTTCTTACAAAGCTGTTTCTCAGCAGAGAAACTAATTTCCATATGGCACCAGCTGTGTCACTTGGCAAAGGAGAAGGAGCAACCTGGGCTGGTGGAAGGTGTCCCTGCCCAGGGAACGGGGGTGGAACCGATGGGCTTTAAGGTCTTTTCCAACCCAAACCAGTCTGGGATTCTATAATTCAATGAATGGACAGGGTTGGAAAACCAAGGACTAGAGTCCCTGTTAGTTCTCTCAAATCCAAGCTGGCAAGGCACATACACAGGTGGGCAGGATACCCAGTGCAGGCTGTAAGGAAGCACTCAGAGACTTATTTCAAGCTTCAACTGATGACTAAAGAGCTGGGCTGGAAGAGCCTGGCACTGAAAGGATTATTTAGTCTTGTGGCTGCCTAATGTCAAAAGAGACCTGCTGCTGTTTGCATGAACAGCTTGTCATCCCTCTGCTCCAGCTGGGTGGGCATGAAAACACCAGCTGAGGGGCTGCTGCCTCAGTGGGGACCAACCTACTCCTCAGCACTGGGACCCTGAGGGACCTGTGAGGAGCTCAGCCCTGATCCCTGTTTCTGCACCAGGTACCTTCCCACATACCCTGGAAATTCTTTCTGGCCTGGAGCAGGGGCAGAGATAGCTGCAGAGAGGTTTCTTCCAACAGCTCTTCCTGTTGGGTTTCTTTTTGGGTCTTCCTTGGGTTTCTTTGTTGGGTTTCTTTTTGTTTTCAATCCACAGGATTTTGAAATGCACTCTGAAAGTACAGACAATGTTTTATTTGCTGCTTTGTCTTGTAATGGTGCTGGTGAAGATTCTGGGGCACCAGGAGTGGCTGAGGGAGCTGGGAGGGCTCAGCCCTGAGAAAAGGAGGCTCAGGAGGGACCTTCTGGCTCTCTACAACTCCCTGACAGGAGGGTG